TAATATTAAAATAAAAGTTAACTTTGACATTTTTTAATGTAAATTAATTAAACATATACATATATATATATATGTATATATTTATTGGACCCTAATTCTAAAATAGGCGAACAGCATGTCTTGAAAGGCTCTCAGCAGAACAAACACCATACCACTAGATTATATAAATTTCAATAGTCATGAATCCAATTTTTAAAATTTATTTCAATAAAATTAAACATAACAATATTTATTTTTTTAGAGTTATATTTGAACTTAAAACTTTTAGAATAAAAATAAATAAATACTATTCATTAAACCAACTCTATTTAATATTTCAACAGTTAAAATTTTATTTTTATTTTTTATGAAAAAAATTTTAATTATTGTTTTGTGTTAATCAGTCATTATTATATATTATTTTACTAAATAAAATAAAATAAAATTTGGAATCATGAACAATGAAATACAAAGTTTAGGAGCTATATTTGTTGGTGATTAATGTTCGAGTTACTTATAAGTAAATTTTTTTTCCCATAAATTTCAAAATTTATTAGAAGAAAGATTGACTATTTAACATTTTTCAAATATGTTTATGCCCTCTTGGAATGCCTAAGAGTAAGTTTTTCCTTCAGTATATTGTTTACACCACAGTAGTAATTTTCTTAGATAATACTATGTGTCCTTATAATGATTAAGTAGTCATTAATTTTTCATGATTTATTATAAATTATTTGGTTGTGATCCAGCACAATGGAATTCATTTTTTGTTGCCATGGGTTGGTATGGATTATTTTTACTAAGTTGGGGTCTAGCATTTTTATTAATTAACTCCACTGCATCAAACTTTATTTCTTTTGGAAGTGGATTTGACAATGAAGAGTTTGTTAGGTTATAAGGAATTGTATGGCCCAAAGGAGAGTACAATCCAATTACTTTTAGACTCTATCTATTAAATCTCATGAGTTGGTATTCTATTAGAAATCAAATTTTTATCCTTTGAGAAGGTTGGAGATTTGATCTTTAACTTAAAAAAGAGATTGGCTTGTCAAATGGAGAAGGATGAGGGTGATTTTCAAGGATTTTATCTAATGGATTTTTGTTGAATTTTGGTTGTATTTTGGTTGTATTTTTCCTATTTTTGGCTAACGGACAGTGTACATAAAGGAGTGAAAATTGGGTTTATTGAGATTTTATTTTACTGTCAATGGAGAGGTAGCCAAATATGATTTTTTACTGAGTAGAGTAGTTATGGAGACCTATAAATTTCAATTTTGAGGACATTTTTTGGTTCTACACATAGGGCTACCATTCAACACAAATCATTTATCTTTCAAACCTCTTTTTTCGTCAAGCATCCTTTAATTTAGTATAGCCTAGGAATCTCTTAGTTTTAGGCTATTTTCTAGCACCTTTCCATCAAGTTGTTAGTTTAGTAGAAGTATATCAACGTCCCCTACATATTATTATTCTTAGTTGATTTAGTTTTTTGGGTAAGATTAGTTTCTGTGACTTTTTTTAATTATTGTAATTTGCTTCTACTAAGTTTCTTAATTATTAAACATTCAATTTGATTTTAATTCAAACATGTTCGCAATTTCAATTAAACTTAGAGTCTTTTACTTTTCTATTGTGTTTTTTCAAAATTTTGCCAGATTTACATTTTCTGCTTGTAGTTTCAGTTCTTGTTTAACACTTTATTTAGTTAATTTTCAGCTGCTATCCTTAGCTTATTTCATTATTAGCACTTTAATTTAATCTTTTTAATACTTGTTTACTTTAACCCAAGTCCTTGATGTGCTTCCAAGACAGGTTTGAGCTCATTGTGTAGGAATTAATCCCTCATTTCTACCAATTATCTAATTTGGGCACACTACATTTTAAACAACGTTTTTCCAATAGCCTTTTTACAAGGAAAAACTAAGTGGAAGGAGAAGGTCATTAGCAAATCCTTTCCCACTTTCCTAGCAAAAGTAGGTAGCACACCTTCATTGTAATTTCTACCGTGAGGTGTGGTTAATAGGATTTTAATGGTATCAATCTTAATTAGCATGCCTGGTGGGACCCCCACGGGTAGTCATGTATCAAGAAAGGTTTTTTGATCCCTTTTTTGCTTTCCTCGAGCATAAGATGGTCATAAACATGCCTAGGAGAGTTGGAAAAGAAGTTGCTTAGCAATTGGAAACTACCGTTATGAGTCCAGTGCATTCTGAAGCTAAGAACAATTCGAAGTACCTCCCTCCTATTTCTCCCTTTGCTAAACATTCTTATAGGAACCCCATGTATGGTAAGGATGATGTAAAGAAGGGTGATTCTATTGAATGTAGTAACAAGGTTTCTCAAGAACCTCAACAAATGGGAAAATTGTAGGAAGAAAGTTCTCAAAATGTTTTGCTTAGTCTCGTGAATTTTCAGGCAAGCCAACAACAAGAGGTAGACATTCTCACTTGATATATGAGTAATGTTGAAAGGGCCATTACTGAAAACTCTCAAGTTGTTTGAAAGGAAGTAGTAGAAAGTCATAGAGCTCTCACTACAATTTCTAAAAGAACTATAAAGCAACAGTAACAGAGTCCTTTAAGGCAACTTGTATCTCTAGCAACAAAATTTTCCAGATCCTCAGCTCGGGGGCACAAGGGGCATGTCAATCAACCTCTAGTGGTGCAGTAGGTACCTAATGCCTAGAACAATGTTTTTGGTGCTAGCCAAATGTAATTCAACCAGCCAAATTTTGTTTTCTACCAACCAGAAGTCGGACAATAGTGGTACTTATCACCTCAATATAGGTAGAATCCTAGTAACAACAATGTCAATATTAATCCTCCTCAAAGATATTTCTTCCAACCAATTCTACAACCATTTTAGCATTTAAAGAATCAACCAACTCACCAGAATCAACAAATTCCTATTGTGAATTGTAAGCAATTGATTGATGTTGTTCAAGAGACTTATAGTCCTACTCTTAGGCCCCTTGTTCATCTTGCATATCGGAAGCCTTATTCGAACCATATTGATCAAGAAAATCCCTTTCTTGGAGGCTTCAAGGTGCCCAAATTCACTCTCTTTTTAGGAGATGGCAGCCATTCACCTATGAAGCATATTGGTTGGTTCACTATTCAATGTGGTGAAGCTTCTGGGGATAATTTTCTTAAGTTGAGACTCTTCCAAAATTCTCTTATTGAAACAACATTTACTTAGTATTTAAGTTTGCCATAGAATCTTGTTTTTACTTGGCAACAGATGGAAGATCTCTTTCATATTCAATTTTACAAATTTGAGCCAAAAGTATCAATGGCTAATCTGTCTAAGCTAACATAGAGGTCTGGAGAGTCTTCTAAAGCGTTTCTAGCTAGATTTCAAAAAGCAAGGATTAAATGTCATGTTGCTCTCCCTAAGCAAGAATTTGTTAAGTTTGCAAAAAATGGTTTTGACATCAAGCTTAGAAAGAAGTTTGAAGGGATGAAATTCCATGACTTTTATGAGCTTTCTCACAAACTGGTTAGATATGAAAATCTTTTGAAGGAAAAAACTCAAAGGAAGGCCGCTTCACATTAAACGTATTATAATGACACAAGCTTCAACCTAGATGTGGCTGAAGTTGTGGCAAAAAACACCATTTGTTTGTCCTGTGCTTGAGAAAGTATCTTAACAACCAAAAACTTCTACCAAGCATTATTTGAGTGAAATTGGCAAATGATACACTTACAATATTTCTAAAGCTAATGAAATCTTTAATCACTTTAGAAAGAGAGGTCTAATTAAATTGCCACTAGGTTTTAAGTTTCCTTCTACAGTGGACATTTTTGGCAAAGTCTATTGTAAGTTTTGCAATTCTTAGAAACATTTGACTAATGATTGTCTTATTTTTTAGAATGTTTTATAGGATAAGATTGATCGTGGCATCCTCAAATTTCCAAAAAAACTAGCAGCCCCAATGGGTGTTGATTCCAATACATTTCCTAATGCTTCTATCAATGTGGGTGTTGTAGATTTGTGGGGCATTGCCAAAAACAAGAGGCTGCATTATCCTAGAAGAAGGTTGTTCAAAGAGGATCTGCATTAAGAGACAAAACATTAACAGCAACTCCATTATCAACTAAAACACAATTGACTGGTGTGCCATCCATAGGTGCTTTGATGTACAATGGCGATCTTTGAGATATTTAATGATATCAATATGTGGGAGAAATTTCTAGTGAACAAGAAATAATAAACATATCCCTATCATGAATGGATGGAAGAAGTTGCTTCTAGGAACTTGATGTGCAAGAACATATTTCCTTTTTGTTGTACTTGATCTACAGGTTCATGGTCTATTTGGTTAGGAAGGGCCCAACCAAAGAATTCATGGTAGTGCGCCTGAATCAGACAATTGGCAAAAATGAGGGATTAATTCCTGTACAGTGAGCTCAAACTTGCCTTGGAAGCATGTCAAGGACTTGGGTTAAAGTGAGTATTAAGAAAAATTAAATTAAAGTATTGGTAATGAAATAAGCTAAGGACAAGTGCTAGAAATTAAATTAAAGTATTGGTAATGAAATAAGTTAAGGACAAGTGCTAGAAATTAACTAAATAAAGCATAGAAAATGTAGCTAAACATGTGGTAAGTGCCTTTGCTATCAACAAACAATAAGTCAATTCTGACTAAGTGGTGGAAGAAGTTTGTGATGAGCTTCTTCGACGGCCTCCATCCACTAGGTGGGAGAAGGTAGCTCATCCAAAATTTTTGAATCAAACCAGTAATCCCAAAATCTTGCATAGAAGGCTTCAAAGAAAAAGGGTAGGAGAATGCAGAGGCTAGCAAAGTAGATCAACATCAGTTTGTTTAGCTTTATACAAATGACCACATATTAAACCATTTTTGACAAAATATCATTGCTGTTGCACTGTCATTTTGGTCAAATGCATACAACTACTATCATTTTCCATGTGGTGCAATGTCTATTTCTTTGCTTGATGTGTGGGCTCTCATTGGTTTGCCATGTATTGGGAATGAAATTTCAGCAATGATGCCCACAGAATTTAATGTTGTTTATGATACTTCATGCTTGAAAAATTCTTTTTCATATTGAAATTTGTAAAAGAAAAAGTAACTTATAAGCAACTTGAAAAATAAGTTCCATTTGTTGAAGATCTAGTATTCTATTCTTATTATGCACAACATTTTAATTTAAACTTTGAATTGACATTAAAAGAACCAATAGATTGAACCAGCTGGTTCATCGATTCTTCGTTATTTCACAGAGAGATTGTAGGGTTTGATTTCTCTCAGTTAGGGAGAAGATCTCATCACCAAACAGAAGTGCAGTGCATTAGACAGAGACACAGTGTTTCATGACTTCATTCTGAAGTTGCCAGCTTCTGTTTTGTTCTCATGCAATGTTGGTCCGTTTGATTTCGGACTTCAAACTGGGTAGTTTTAATGTTTATGCCCATGCCCATTGTGGCTTCCCTCAAGGGACCTTTTCTGGTACCGCTTTTTTAGCGAAGTTAGAAATTTTCAGACATTGACGATTTGCGATTATATGTTTACTGTAGTAAACTACTTTATCCATTTCCTCCCGACCCATGTTCTTTCTATTTCGTAACTTTTGATTAATAAACGATTTTTTTCCATAAAAAGGGAAAATGAAATTTTCAAAAAGTGGAAATGGTTTTCACATTTTCACTTATTATATAAACTGAAGGCATCCAATAAATATGGACTGAACAATGTATAGTAACTGGAAAATTATAAACCTATATTTAGATTATGAGATGCAGGTTTGGCGGCGTAAGTCGTTAAAGAAGGAGAGTGTGCCAGGGCAACAAGCATAATTGTTGTGTTCTAAGTTCCCTTGTTATGTTGTACGTATTCTTTTCCTTGCTATGTATCCTCTTATCCAAGGAGTAATGTCCTCATTGACCTTAATTATGATGAAGAAGATGACGCGATATATCACGATCATGCTAAAGAGCACACTCAAATCAATCCATTTTGATCGATGCACATCGATTTGGAACACATTCTCCAAGATGTACTCCCCAGAAATCTTAGGAAGAAATGGTGATTGATTGTCGAATAACAACCCTTTTAGATCATTTTGGTATTGCCCCTGGAAAACAAATGTATAATGTCAATGTTAATTTCAAACATAAAGTTTTTTTAACCTTACTAATATAAAAAGCTATTTTGTAGTTGAACTACATAATAAGGGTTTCAAGATGAGAAACAAACTCTCTCTCTTATCTTAAGATCCTTTTTTGCAATTCAAATGGTAAAACAGGAGTCTTTCTAATATGTGCCAATGATCTTCATTACCTGTAGAGCCCAGAAGTGGAAGCTAATGTAAGACATGGGATAACGCCAGATAGGTTTTGGGATGTCATTTGGGAGTCTAAAGTACCCAGAAACAAGCATGAATATTCCCTGAAAACAAAAGAGTATATATCTCATGAGGATTGATTCATAAAATCACGTAGACGATCGACATGGAAAGTTGAACATGGTGCAAATTATACTAACCTGAATTCCAGCTCCTATGATAACACCCATGAGGAAATTGGGGACAATACTGGCTATTGCCATCATCAGGCTCTCAACCACAGTGACGCTGGCATAAAGGCACAGAACAAAGAAAAGGTAATGCTGGTAACCAGGATGAAGATTGACCATGAAGTAACAAATGGTTCCAGAGATGAAGGTGATCATGATTAGGAATGGCATTGCCGATATCGTATTTCCTATAACAAATGCAGCCACTCCATAGTGACCATTTAGCCTCTCCCTCTGGAAAACCTGCAATTATTAAAGTAAAACTATCATAAGCAGAGCCCGGGGCTTGCTTAATTTGTTGAGATTGAGATGCCTCAACTATTATATATTATCATACCTTCATGTCTTCCACAAAGGAAGGAAACCCTCCAATTGACATGAACGTGACAAAGCCAAAGACAAAAGATGCACATGCTCCCCTAGCCTGTTCCACAAAGTTCACCGAGTCATATCAAGATATTTTAGAAGTACTCAAATTTGCCATAGATTGTTAGAGATAATTGGAGTACCAGAATTGCGCTGTAGCTCGTGCCCACGTTCAGGTAAATTGTTCCAATGCAGACAGTAACAACAATATAAATCAGAAGCCTAAGCCAATAATACCCAAAGTCTCTAGACATGTTAACAAAGGAACGTTTTGTCAAAGTATACGATTGCATCAAGAAACTAGCTTGACTGCCTCCAGTTTCTAGCACAGTCCCTTTCTGCAAAACAGAGGATTAGAACACAAAAGTATGATTAAAGTTACGAGAAAGTGAAGAGATTTTGTCTAGGATTATAAACAATGGTTGCATCAAAAGGAACTTACAACTTTTGATATCTCCTCGACCTTCTCCTTTGCAGAGTAACATTGCTGAGATGTTTGGTAGAAGTCAATGAGATTTCTGATAGCTTCAGCTGTTGTCGTCCTCTCCAGTGGATCGTCACTTTCCTCAAACTGATTAAAATTAAGAAATTTATTAACTGGAGGCAATCTTACACTGAAAATACTATACCAACAGAGAAGAATAGGAACTTGAAGTTATATTATGTTACCCGAAGTTTCATGGACCCTTTAAGAGTAGCCTTAACTTTGTCAAAATCAGCATTGATGCATCGGAGGAAATGGTCGGATGGATTTCTTAAAGCCGGGCATGGGAATCCAGCTTGCGCAAAGAACTTTAAATGGAAACTTATTTCTATTAGTATTATAGCGTAACAAAAAAGTATTACCGAACTAGATAATTTCAAACATTGGAAGCAGGTTTGTCCCTTGCCAATCTATTTCAGTTTGATCGGCTGCACTATAAAATAAAAATATCAAATAACCCCCATATATCTAATTATTTAAATTATATCCTATATATTCAATTATTTGAATAAAAAAAAGTAAATATCAACCGCTATTATAAAAAATTAAATAAAAATTATTTTAAAATTATGTTTTTTTAATAAAATTTTATTAAAAAAATAAAAATATTTTAATTTTTTTTAATATTTTATTAAAATAATATAATTTTAAAATATTTTTTTATTTAATCTTTTACAAATTCAGTCGAAAAACAACAATCTTTTATTTAAATTATGCAAATCGCAAAACGGGAGTCTCTTATAGGAATTATTAATCACTTTGAATGCAGATTAAGCAAAGGGAAGTGAGAATCTTGCCTCGTACGCGTCTGAAGCCTTGCCAAAATAAACAGTTTTGCCCCCAGAAAGCAAATACAGTTGATCGAACAGTTCGAAGACTTCACTGCTTGGCTGGTGAACGGAAGCTATTACAGTCCTTCCGTCTCTAGATAGTCCCCGGAGTGTCTGCGTCACGAAGAAAGCCGAAGCACTGCGGCACAATTGATTGGGGAAAAGCAGAGAAATCTTAACATAAATGTTTATGGAGGAAGAAGAAGATCGCTAATTAACCAGTAAAGCAAATCTCAGAGAAGAACCTGTCTAAACCACTTGTGGGTTCATCGAGAAAGAGTAATCTGGGTCGCATCAGAATTTCGAGAGCGATGCTGACTCGTCGCTTCTCTCCTCCGCTGACCCCTCGGAGATGCCAATTTCCGATGACAGTATTAGCGCAATCTTGGAGACCCATCTCGATAATGGTGCTTTCAACAAGAGCACGTTTGTCCGGCCATGGCATCTGATCGGGGAGGCGCAGTCGAGCAGAGTATGAAATCGTTTCCCTCACTGTCAGGGTTCCGATCAGGTTGTCATCTTGAGTCACATAGGCCTGTGGAATTTCAAGAATCAGTAAAAAAGGGTATGTTTATAACATGTTTGGTAAAATGTTTAGGAGAAAGAAATTCTAACCGCAGTTCCGAAGGAGAGCTTGGTTCTCCTGCCGTTGAGGAGAATGGTACCGGAGAGGAAAGTGTTGGCGGCAAGGCGGCTAGACAGAGCATCCAGAAGGGTGGACTTACCAGAACCGGAAGGACCCATGAGAGCTGTCAGTGTACCGGGCTCGGCGTATCCGGTGAGTCCCTCCAGAACCTTCTGGGTCTCTCCGTTGCTGCGACTCACCATCACCGTTAGATCCTTCCATGTCAGCCTCGCGGACACATCTCCGATGAACTCGGTGTTAGTCTTATCCCTCCAAAGGGTCTCACTCAGCGGACTCAAGCCCCCCACCACCATCCGGCCGTTCCCTGCCGGTTTGCTTGACTCAATCTCCATCATAACATCACTCGCCGGATTCTTCATCTCCGATTAAAACCCACCTCGAGGATGGACTAAAAGAATTTCGATGCCAACTTCGCACAAAAAAAGTGTGAAAGAAACGAGATTTCTCTGAGAAGAATGAGATGAATTGTTAGGTTAACGACGTGATCATCAACAACTTGTGTGACCAAACTGATAATCAAACAAAATCTTTCACCTTCTGATCATGCGGATGCAATGAAGGAACGCGCTGCTTTTGCTTTGAAATCTAGCTATATAAAGAAAAACACTGAATTTCCTGTAACTTAGGAACAAAGGGAAAAAATGTTTTGAACATGATAACATTGTTGCTTGCTCTGATGTTAGTTGCTACCCATTAAATGGGTGTCGATGATTGTTGGCAGATGCATTAAATTGAGCCAACTGTGTAAACCAACTTTATTGTTTCTAACCACCGAATGATTATGCTAAATATCGCTATCTCAGCTACATATATATAACGGATATGCTTGCTAGGATACGAGTACATACGTGTCCAAGTGTTGTTGCATGAAAGGAGTGCATATCATAACCACAATTAACCATGGCCAATTTAACTTGACTTGAATTGACAACATTGAAACCAAATTTATTGATAGCGAAGCTTACTTTATTTACTTTAGGTTGTGTTTGAGAACTGAGATTGTAGTATATATGATGTTAACTGTGACTATTTTTATATATTGTATTATTTAAAAAGGGTTGTGAAAAGTTAAAATTGTCAAATAGTTATGATAAATTAGAGTCATTTATCATGTGATCTCATACAGTGATTCACATGCGGATCACATGATAGATGACCTTAATCCTCATAGTTTTGACTTTTCAGTTTCTATATTTAAAATTTTATGTTAATTAGTATTTGATAATTATTTTGAAAAGTGTACAACATCTTTATATTTCATTAAAAAAAAAGTTAAAACGAAAAAAAGATGGGTCAACATTTAATTAAAAACTTGAAATTTTAAATTAGAAATTTCATATTTAAATTTTAAATCAAATAGAGAGAGATTTGAAAAAAAAAATGGTTATCTTTTCTTGTATAACATATTTGATGTACAAAAGAAAAAAAAATAAAACATACTAAACATTAATTAAAGTCAATTTAATTATAATATTTTTTTCTTTTTCGGAGTGCTTTGTCTAGAAAAGTATTGTATGAAAGCCAATGTTGTCCAATGACGTGCGACTATGATTTGATTGTATGAATATAGGTTTTGTTACGGGTATAGTATCTACCATATACTCTATCATATTGTGTACCATTCAAATTTGTTTTATAAGTATATATTTTTATAAAAAAAAAATTCACTTATATATAAAATTTACATACCATATTGGCACAAAATCTCAATTATTTATTTATTAACTTTCAATTGTTGAGATTTATTATGATTTTTTAGGTAAAAAGTAATTATTTTTAATAAATATGAATAAATTTCAACTATTGAAGTGAAGAAATAAATTGTTAAGATTTTGTATAAGCGTGATGTGTAAAATTTATGTATAAATAAATCTTTATTCTTTTATAAATTATATATATTTAGGGTTTTTCTATTTTGTGCACTAAGAGCATAGTTTTAGGATGTCTTCATTACATTTTACTACAATTAATTTATAAAAAAAAGTAGAAGTTGATTTTAAATTTATTAATTACTCAATTAAAATAATTCACGTGATATTAATGTTAAAAATAATATTTACTTTTATATATTACTATAAAAATTTACTGTAAAAATGTACAATTAATGTACCTTTAACCTATACTATAAAGGGCACAAGTTAAAAAATCTATATATACATGAAATGACATTTAGTTGAAATGAAAAACATTAATGTTTAAAAAAAAATTCATAATAGGTCATATATATAATTCAATTTACTTGATTCAATTTGAAAATTTAAGGCTTTAATTGAAACTAAAGTATTAGACCTAATATACACTTAGATAGAGATCTCAACAAGGCCTCGCGGAGCCGGGAGTCTCTTTTCGTCTAGGGACAGGGATCCCCTACGAAAATTTTTAACGGGAGGTAAATTTTGTCCCCATCCCCGTTTCCCGCCAATTAATATAAAAAAATAATTTTTTTTTACATATAATTAATTAATATTCAATTATAATAAATAAAATTTTAAAAATTCAAGTATAATTAATTAAAATTCTTTAAATATAAATTATCTAAACATAAATAAAGATCCATCTAACATAAATAAAGATCCATCTAACATAAATAACTAAAAGGTTAATAATAGGTTGGATAAAATTGGATTAAATTTAAATTTTATTGAATTGAATTTAGGTTTGAAGGTTGAATTAAATTTAAAATAAAACTAATTTACATATTTTTTTAATTTTTTACGGGGATGGAGATCCCCATGGGGCCTCGCGGGGCGGGGAAAATTCTCCGTAAATTTTCAAGAGGAGAAAATACTCTCTATCCTCGCCACACAGAAAAAAATATTCCTCCCCGCACGAGGATCCCCACGGGATCCCATGAGACTCCACAGGAATCGGGGCAAATTGCCATCCCTACACTTAGAGGAGCCAAGTTGTATTGATTTAAAAGCATAAAAATTGTAGCGGCTGGTATGAAGCCGTATGGACCGGATATTTCAACCATTGCAAACTAGTACGAGTAAAAATTAACTAGTATGTACCGGTTTATGTTTCATACAATTTTAAAGTAGAAACAGTATGTATCAGTTGATACAAAGTAATACAATATAGTATTATAACAGCAATATAACGAAAGTAATTTTAGGCTTACTTTTGTTTCAAACTTTGTGTTTCACATGGTTTTATTGAAGAAATTATCAATCGGGACGAATTTTCTAAATAATTTGTGTATTATGTAATGTTATTTTCAATTGGAAATATACAGGACCCATCTTAGGTTTTATTGTAGGAAAAAATTGGGAGTTTTGTTTGTAAGGGTTCCAATGTTAAGCATGCTTGGATGACTAATAAGGACCTAGACAAATTCTCTGTTAATGGAGATGGGTGGCGAGTTACGCCCCCCACCATTTGCCTACCATTCCAACTGCTGCTCAATTACATGTTTGGTTGGCTAGGTGCTTTCGAGACAATTTTACGTAATTTAAGAATTATTTATCCGAATAATTTTAAGAGTATTTAAAAAAAAATTAAATTTGGGTTTTTTTTTAATCTATAACACAAATTAAAGATATATTTATTGTACTTTTTTCTCATTAGTTATATTAAAAAAAAAAGCCTTATGACACAATTAATTAAGAGTTTAAAATTTTAAACTAGAGATCTTAACTTTAAAACTTGAATTTAATAAGAAATAATTTGATAAAGGATGAGAATTACTCTCTCTCTTATATAACCTATTATTTAATATATCAAAAAAAGGCAAATAAAATTTGGGGTTTTTTAACTTATGTCACAAGTTAAGCATACATTTGTTATACTTTTTTCTCATTAGTTGTTATAGAGAGGTTAAACTCTCAATTTGGTCTCGGAACCATTTACAAACTTTTGATTTGGTCCCTAAACTAATGTACAGACCATCGATTTAGTCCCGATTATTTACTGATTTAGTCTTGAATTAATCTTTGCATACAAAAAACAACTGACATGTCCATTACTTAATGACAAAAAACAATTACTTAACGGTGAAAAACAATTACTTAACGACAAAAAACATTTACTTAATGACCACGTGTCACGTTAATAACGAGATACGTCAACTATTTTTATACGAAATGACCAACTTGGGGTAAATTGGTAAATAGTAAAGACCAAATCAAGGGTCTGTACAATAATTCAGGGACCAAATTAGAGATTTAACCTTATAGAAAATATAAAAAAGTATTTTTCATGCCAACATGTATGAAAAAAGTGCACGAATATTATAAAATTATTTAAATACTCTTAAAATCTATTTGGTATAATAGTTAAAATTCAGTAGATAATGGGTACCGGTCAATAGTGAGTAGCGGATAGTAGATAGCGATGGCGGGTAGCAGATAGTGGTGGCAAGTAGCCGATAATGGTAGTGGGTAACGGGCAGTAAGTAGCAGATAGCAGTTAACAAATAACAAATGATGAATAGAAAAAAATGAGTAGCGAATAGTAGATACTTGATGGATGTAATTGTTTGGTTATACAATAATTAGTAGTTGTTATTTAATATTAAATGACTAATAAGGACATGTTTAAAAATAATTAAAT